AGATATCCCAGAGTGTCCTGTCGGACGCTGCAGAAAACAAAACCTGACCTTTATGAACAGGGCCAGGCTAGAGAGAATCATGATGGGGTGAAGAAGGCGAGGTTGACAAGAGAGATCTTTTGTTGCATTTCGTCACATACTGTTTTGTGACTTAAAGAACAAATGTCCAGCCCAAACAGCAGGATGTCAGCAGACCACAGCACAGCCGCCACTGCACTAGACAACCACGCAGGGCGGAAGGAGTGGTACCAGAATGGGCACAGCACACAGAGACACCACTCAACACTGATAGCAGTGAGGAAATACATACTGCTGCTGAATGAGGACACTTCCATCTTGCTCAATATGGTCATCAGCTCACACCACTGAAGGATGTGGGTGGCAAAATACTGCGCAAAAAAGAAAGATGTGATAAACAGGAGCAAAAAGAGAAAGAAATGGTCAGCCGCTGTTAAGCTGAGGATGTAAACGAAGAGTGGATTCTTCTTGATGTCTAGTCGGAGAAACCAAAGGACAATCCCATTCCCCAGCAGGCCAAAGATGCAGATGAACAGACTGAGGCAATAGATGATGTCATCTGTTAAATTGTGCACAGAGCATTTGTATCCAATATCACAGGTTTGTGTCTGAATGCTGTGAATAAGCAAATGTGCCTGTGTTGTGTTAGCCATCACACAGGCTTTGCTGGGGCTGGCAGATGTCTTCTTCTTCTTCTTCTTCTACTACTACTACTACTACTACTACTTCCCTCCTGTCCCTTTTCACCTGCAAGCACAGAGAAGATGGAAGCATATCAGTAAGTAACTCAGGCTGCACTCCCATTGGTGATTTATGCATTGACAGATTTGTGGTATTTGTAACCCGTCTTTTACCCAAAGGTTACCAAGCAGGTCACAGTGCCGTATACAATATTAAATGCATAACTTAATAAAATATACAAGCAACCTTTTTAAAAAATAAAACACCTTGGTTCACAGCAATACTTCAACCAGAACAAAATTACTTCTCACATCTCAGAATAAAGCAGCAGTGATGCTCTCCTGTCACTCCAAAGCCCAGCAGAATGAACCCATGGAATATAGATCCATGCAAACTCTGGGTTTGTTGGTGGCAATTTCATTGTAACAACCACTGCATGAGCCTTAAAAACAAACATCAGCACATGTGGGCTTATCCACACTTACCTTTTGCCCCATGCTTTCCAGGCACAGGTCCTCACTTAAAAGCTCCATTTCCCCCATCCCCAGGACAGAGAAAGCATGTCTTTTTTTTTTTTTTTTTTTTAGAAGAAGAGTTTGGATTTGATATCCCGCTTTATCACTACCCTAAGGAGTCTCAAAGCAGCTAACAATCTCCTTTTCTCTTCCTCCCCCACAACAAACACTCTGTGAGGTAAGTGAGGTTGAGAGACTTCAGAGAAGTGTGACTAGCCCAAGGTCACCCAGCAGCTGCATGTGGAGGAGCGGGGAATCGAACCCAGTTCACCAGATTACGAGTCCACCGCTCTTAACCACTACACCACACTGTCTCTCAGAAAGCATGTCTTTTAACCAATGCTTTTTTTTCTAGAAAAAGAGGTGCTGAAACTCACTGTGAATGTCTCCCTTGTTCTCATATAATGCCAATGGTGCCCATCTGAGTAGTGCCAGAACTAAATTCTGAAGAGTTCCAGCTGAAAAAAGCCCTGTTCCTCTCTTCTGTTTTTCCTCAGTATGGCAGCAAAAAATGTTTTTTAGATCCACTAGCTGGCTGTGAGCAGATCTATTTCTTGTAGTCGCTATAACCTCCTCCAGCAGAATGTGCTTGAGAAAGATTTTCTTTAATTAAGGCGGCACGGATTGTTGCTCTGGCTCTTTTTTTTATATATATATATTTTACTTATCCTTTATTTTACTTACAGATGTATATTTTTGCTCATTGGCTGAATAACAAATTATACAATTGCTCCAATTATACAAAAGCCATCACATAAAACCACCATATCCCTTTCTTCAGATGCTAATTTTTCCTGGCCTTCTGGTTTTTTTTGTTTTTGTTTTTTTGTTTTTTTTAATGATTTTTATTAAGGTTTCAATAAAAAGTTAAACAGAAAAACATAGAAATAGAAGTACAAAAATACACAATACATAATCCAAAAAGAAAAGGAAAACACAGAAAACAAAATACAAAAGAAACAAAAAAAAAACCAGAACAATTAAAAACAATATCACTTTTCCGGACTTCCGGGGTGGCGCCTCCGGAAAATGGCGGAATTCCCTTCGGACTGAAGGGAACCCGCTGCACGGAGGCTTGGGTCCTGCCGCTACGGCGCAGCGGGGACCCGCAAAAACCACAGGCGGAAGAAGCCTGTGGACGTGGGACTCGGCGGGCACCGAGAGTGCTCTCTCCCCTTGTACAGGAGCCCGGTAACGGGCTCCGGAGTGGGAGGTGCGTGGTGCTGTGAGTCGACTGCTTCCTCCGTGCAGCAAAGCCGCACTGCCGTTTTCGGAGAGCGCTGCCTTTTTCCTGGACAATTTGGCATCTAAAACATCTATCCGTGAGTACCTGATCTGGGAAGAGCTGAACCACTTTTAAGACTGGTGAATAAACAAATAATATTGGACTTGAAATTGAAATTGAACTTAATTGGGACTCAGAATGGGAAGGTCTAAACAGGAAGTCGCCTTCCGTTCTTTTGTTATGAGAAGAAAGCAAAGACAAAATATACTAAAGCCTGAAAATTAAATTTTAAGAGAACTAGAATTCAACATCTAAGATTTCTGAACCCCCCCTTTGACTGCAGGAGAAAAAGGGGGTTGTATTTGGACTTTTCAATCCTGCGGAAGTGAGTTTAAAATAAAGCAATTTTCCACCTCCCTGAACCAGGAGCGGGCTGTCAGAATTGACGTTCTGAAGTTTATCCAGCTCGACAGTTAGTTAAAAGAAGGGTAACATTTTGATTCCACTGTTGCCTCTTGAATTTGGAAGGGGGAATTTTGGATAAAGTGTTTCTGGAAAAAGAAAGATTGTTGCTGTTGCTTTTATTCCTTTTAAATTAAAAAAAAAAATTCCATCTAGTGGAATTTAATGAAATTGCAACGCAGAGAGATTAAAAGAGAAGGACTATTGGACTATTCTCGTGGGAAAGAATTTTCTTTGACCTTGAAGGACAATGCTAGTACAAAGGCTTGAACAATTGTTCTTGGAAGGTTTTTCAAAACTAAGTGCCCAGCTGGACCAGATGCGTCAGGAGACGACCTTGATGATGGAAGTTACCAGAGCACAGCAGCAAACAAATGAAATTCAGTTAAAGGCTATACATGCATATGAACCTGCTGTAGCGACGGAGGCTTCAGAGATGGAGGGACCTTTGGACGGGCAAGATCAGCCTTTGAACTTGACAATTGAACTTGGGACAAACCAGATTCGGAAAGATGAAATGTGGTCAGATTTGGAAATGGGGGGATGGATCGACCCCTCCATATGGTTATTTGGACCTTCCGAGTCTGGTGATGGGCTATCTGAGGATTGGAGTAGCCGAAGTCTCCAAGCTTTGTGGAAATTTGAAGTGGTATCATTTGCTGTCTGGCTTGGGCAATGGGTTTGGGATGGACTTGTTGCAAAGGGTCAAAAGCATTTTCTCGCTGGAGCATCCACGACTGGAAAGGAATCATAAACAAGAGTGGCGAAAGGGGCAAGAAAGAGACTTGAGGGCCTCGGATACGAGACAACCAGGTTAAGGAGCCGGATTACCGAGGTTAAAAGGACTGACAATCCCGGGTCCAGGGGAGGGGAGGTTGGAAGCTGACTGGACTGAATTTGACTTATTATTTTTTCTTTTCTACTTTTTAATATTGGGAATGCTTACAAATGTTTGAAGGATGTTGAATGAAATTACATGACTTAAGTAAGGATTGGTAAATGATTTGTAAAAAGGTAATGATGCAAGAATTTGGTAAATATTAAATATAAGCTATGAGTTTTAAAGTTTTTATATGACAAGAGGGAAAATAGAATAAGGAAATGTAATGACAGATTGTTATGAAAAAACAGAAAGGATTTGCTGTAAAAATTAAAAACTAAGAAACAAAAGAGGGGAGGAGGAGGAAGTCTAGAAAGGAAGTCAATGGAGATTGTAAAGGACTTTGTATTTTTGTTTTTCTGTTTCTCTTTTTTTTTTTTTCTCTTTGCGGCTGGGTTTTCTTTTCTTTTTTGTTTATGCACTAATTTTGTTTTTTGTATCCTTAAATTTTTTTTTGGAAATTTTTGTTGTTATTTTTTGAAAATTCAATAAATATCAACTAAAAAAAATAAATAAAAACAATATCACTTTTCCATTTCCGTTTTTGAATTTACCGTATTTTTCGCACCATTGGACGCACATTTTCCCCTCCAAAAATGAAGGGGAAATGTGTGTGCGTCCTATGGGGCGAATGCAGGCTTTCGCTGAAGCCTGGAGAGCGAGAGGGGTCGGTGCGCCCGGACCCCACGCGCACTACAGGCGTCAGGAAGCTCTGCGCAACCCTCCGGAGACCGACTCCGAGGGTTGCGCAGAGCTGCCTGCAGTCCCGGGCTCAGCGCAGCTCTGCGCGGCCATCGGGAGCCAGGCGCGAAGTCCCGCCCCACTCCCGATGGCTGCGCAGAGCTGCCTGCAGTCCCGGGCTCAGCGCAGCTCTGCGTGGCCACCGGGAGCCGGGCGCGAAGTCCCGCCCCGCTCCTGATGGCCGCGCAGAGCTGCCTGCCATCCCCGGCTCAGCGCAGCTCTGCGCAGCCACCGGGAGCCGGGCGCGAAGTCCCACCCCGCTCCCGATGGCCGCGCAGAGCTGCCTGCAGTCCCGGGATCAACGCAGTTCTGCGCGGCCATCGGGAGCGGGGTGCGAAGTCCCACCCCTCTCCGGATGGCCGCGCAGAGCTGCCTGCCGTCCCCGGTTCAGCGCAGCTCTGCGCGGCCACCGGGAGCCGGGCGCGAAGTCCCGCCCCGCTCCAGATGGCCGTGCAGAGCTGCCTGCAGTCCCGGGATCAGCGCAGCTCTGCGCGGCCATCGGGAGCGGGCGCGAAGTCCCGCCCCGCTCCCGATGGCCGCGCAGAGCTGCCTGCCGTCCCCGGCTCAGCGCAGCTCTGCGCAGCCACCGGGAGCCGGGCGCGAGTCCCACCCCGCTCCCGGATGGCCGCGCAGAGCAGCCTGCAGTCCCGGGATCAGCGCAGCTCTGCGCGGCCATCCGGAGCGGGGCGCGAAGTCCCACCCCGCTCCGGATGGCCGCGCAGAGCTGCCTGCAGTCCCGGGATCAGCGCACTTCTCCCCATCGCCAGCCCCACAAGCTCGGGGGACAGCGGGGAGGCAGAGCGCACCTTCCCGCTGTTCCCCGACCTAGTTCTTCCAGCCCCGCACCTGGGGGGGAAATAAAAATATTTTTCTTTATTTCCCCCCAAAAAAACTAGGTGCGCCCTATGGGCCGGAGCGTCCTATGGAGCGCAAAATACGGTACTTATTTTCTGGACTTCCTCATACCTCCCTCTTTTGTATTCCAGTCCAAATTGTTTGTCCAGCAATTTCTTTTCCACTTTTTTAATCCCAATCTTTAATCTTAATATAATATATAACACTTAAACTTCTTTAATCCTAATCTTTAATCTTAATGTAATATAGCATTAAAATTTTACCTCTTAAGTACCAAATTTCCATTTCCTTAAACATCTTTAATCCTAATCTTTAATCTTAGTCTATCAATAACTTTAACCTGTACAGCTGGAAACCACTTGTTTTTGATCCAACATCACTCTAACATTCTTTAATTTTGCAGTGTTTCTGAAGATAATCTTTGAATTTCTTCCAATCTTCCTCCACCGACTCTTCTCCCTGGTCACGGATTCTGCCAGTCATTTCCGCCAGTTCCATATAATCCATCAATTTCATCTGCCATTCCTCCAGCGTGGGAAGTTCTTGTGTCTTCCAATACTTTGCGATGAGTATTCTTGCTGCTGTTGTTGCATACATAAAGAAAGTTCTATCCTTTTTAACACCATTTGGCCGACTATGCCCAGGAGAAAGGCCTCTGGTTTCTTAGGGAAGGTATATTTAAATACCTTTTTAATTCATTATATATCATTTCCCAGAAAGCCTTAATCTTTGGGCACGTCCACCAAAGGTGAAAAAATGTACCTTCAGTTTCTTTACATTTCCAACATTTGTTATCGGGCAAATGATAGATTTTTGCAAGCTTGACTGGGGTTATGTACCACCTGTATATCATTTTCATAATATTCTCTCTTAAGGCATTACATGCCGTAAATTTCATACCTGTGGTCCATAACTGTTCCCAGTCAGCAAACATAATGTTATGTCCAACGTCCTGTGCCCATTTAATCATAGCCGATTTTACCGTTTCATCCTGAGTATTCCATTTCAGCAGCAAGTTATACATTCTTGACAAATTCTTAGTTTTGGGTTCTAACAGTTCTGTTTCTAATTTTGATCTTTCCACCTGGAAGCCAATTTTCTTGTCCAATTTAAATGCCTCCATTATCTGAAAATAATGAAGCCAGTCTCGCACTTTGTTTTTAATTTTTCAAAACTCTGCAATTTCAGTCTATCTCCGTCTTGTTCCAAAATTTCCCAATATTTCGGCCATTTGACCTCCATATTGACCTTTTTCAAGGCTTTCGCTCCATTGGTGACAGCCACCTTGGGGTTTTGTTTTCTAGCAAGTCCTTATATCTTATCCAAACATTAAATAGCGCTTTCCTGACAATGTGGTTTCTAAATGCTTTATGTGCTTTGACCTTATCATACCATAAATATGCATGCCATCCAAATACATTGTTAAAACCTTCCAAGTCCAAAATGTCAGTGTTTTCAAGAAGTAGCCATTCTTTCAACCAGCAAAAAGCTGCTGATTCATAGTAAAGTTTGAGGTCTGGCAGGGCAAATCCGCCTCTTTCCTTTGCATCCATTAGAATTTTAAATTTTATTCTGGGCTTCTTGCCCTGCCAGACAAATTTAGAAATATCTTTCTGCCACCTCTTGAAACAATCCATTTTGTCGACAATCTGCAAAGTTTGAAACAAAAACAACATTCTAGGCAATACATTCATTTTTATCGCAGCAATACGGCCTAGCAGTGAAAGCTTCAAATTTGACCAAATTTCTAAGTCTTTTTTCACTTCAGACCAACACTTTTCATAATTGTCTTTAAATAAATTCCCATTTTTTGCTGTCATGTTAATCCCCAGGTATTTAACTTTCTTAACCACTGTTAAACCTGTCTCATTCTGAAACCTCTCTCTTTCAAACGGTGTTAAATTTTTCTCTAAAACCTTGGTTTTTGACTTGTTCAATTTAAATCCTGCCACTTGACCAAATTCTTGAATCAATTCTAAGACCCTTTTAGTACTAGATTCTGGCTCCTGTAACATCAATACTAACTCATCTGCAAATGCTCTCAATTTGTACTGTTTGGTTCCGACCTGTATACCTTTAACCGACTGGTCCCTTCTAATCATATTCAGCAGAACCTCCAGGACCGAAATAAAAAGAAGTGGGGAAATTGGGCAACCTTGTCGTGTCCCTTTTTCAATTTTAAGTTCTTCCGTCACAACATTATTTACAATTAGTTTAGCCTTTTGTTCTGAATAAATTGCACCTATACCATTCTCAAAACCTTGGCCTACCCCCATACCCTGTAGATTCTTCTTCATAAAATTCCAAGAAATATTGTCAAAGGCTTTCTCCGCGTCTACAAATATCAAAACTGCTTTAGTGTTTATATTCACTTCTAATTTTTCCAAAATATCAATTATATTCCTCAAATTGTCAGACAAATGTCTTCCTGGGAGAAAGCCCGCTTGGTCTTTATGAATCTCTTCCATCAACACTTTTTTAAATCTCTTAGCCAAAATATCTGCAAAAATTTTGTAATCCACATTCAGTAATGATATAGGGCGGTAGTTCTTAGGCTGTGTCTTTTCAGTCTCTGTTTTTGGTATCTAGAAGTCAAGCCGTCTGGTCCTGGAGATTTACCCAATTGCATGGTTTGAATGGCACCTTCTATTTCCTGTTCAGTTATTCTATGATTCAAAATTAATTTGTTTTCTTGAGATATTTTTTGTAATCCATTTGTTTTCAAAAATTGGTCTAAGTCTGTTTCTTTCAGTGGCCCTTGAGTGTATAATCGTTTAAAGTACCTCTGGAAACAACTTCTGATCTCTGCAGGGTTCTGTATGTTTCTTCCTTCCACTTCTAAGTTCGTAATTGTATTTAATTTTTGTCTCTTTTTCATTTGCCATGCCAACAGTTTACCACATTTATTGGCCAACTCAAAAGTCTTTTGTCTCATTTGTTTAATTTTCCATTCTATTTCCTGATTCATCATTTTCATATATTGTACTTGATATAACTTTAACTCTCTCAGAATCTCTTGAGATTTTGGATTTACTCTCAGTCTTTTTTCACATTCCTTTATTTTGTCCATTATCTTATCCTTCTTCTCATTTTGAGTTCTTTTCTTTATTGCATTCTGTTGTATTAAGAACCCTCTCATAACCGCTTTACTTGCATCCCAGATTACCCTTCTCTCCACGTTGGTACTGTGTTGCTCTGGCTCTTAAAGGCATCCACTTTTCAAATGCTTTCTATGATGGGCATGGCAATTCAACAAGTCCCTCTTGAGCAAGGCTTGACGTTATAACTTGATGTGTCATCTGGAGACTCTGGGTACTCTCACACTAGTCATTTTCTCAAGAAGCAACTTCATTCACCTGGAAAAATTGAAATGAGATCACAGATAAAATGTTGCATTCCAATATGTCTATGTTCTCCTCCCATCTTTTAAATTATTGGATAGTGCTCACCTTTATGACTTTCTGTTCCTTAGCGGCACCAGCCTTTTATAGGTCAACTGGCAAAGTGCTGTTGATTCACCTGGTATGGAAGAGTGAAGCACTTTGGGCAACAGTACTTTGGGCCAAAGCACTTCTAGCAAACTTTAAACCAGACACTTGTATTTTGAGAGGAAAGGGATCTGCAGAACTCCCACTCAGAATGCGCTCCTGATCTGAGGGAGGGGAGACGGGCTGAACCAGTTTCCTACTGAAAATCCTTGCCCAAGTTCCTACTATTTGCCCCTGAAAATGCTTGTCACAGTAAATGTCTCCTTGGGGAGCAATTAGGGGGTTCAGCAGGAGACCAACATGGGGCACCGATCTGGAGCACATTCTAGTTTAGAGCCACATTGTTGCTGAAAGTGGCCAATTTATACACACCTTATTAAAAGTGTGCTGATTGCACTGTGTAGTTTGGCTCTTAAATTAAGAGTTAGTTACTGTGTGAGTCTATACCTGTCTACTCAGAATTAAGACACATTGAGTCTCATGCAGGTTATTTACATGTAAGTGAGTACAGGATGGCAGCCTTGTTAGTTACTGCTTTTTAATTGTTTTATTTGATATTTTGATATTTCATGCAAACTGCTTATACGTTTTGTTACATTCAAGCAGTATATCAATGTTTTTAAATAAAGAGCAGATCAGCAGTGCCGGGGCATGCGTGGCAAGCGCCAAGCATCCCAGGGGTGCGCGCCAAGCACCTAGCGTCTGGGTGGCGGGGGCAAGGGTGGCTGCGATGTCACCCCCCCGGGATGGCAGCTTGGGTGGACCGCTCCCCTTGCCCTGCCTTCATCCGTCAGTGCAGATCAGAATGATTTTAACCAGCATTAGTTTCTTGTGCCTCTGCCATTATATATCTGCAGTGGGATCCCAACCCCCACATATTACTTTTTAACAACCAGCCTTTGCCTACTTACTCTCTTTCTTCTCGGCGAAGTAATGTGTACAAAAATCCATTTACTGGGGTGAAGTGTGCATAGAAATGCATATATACATGAAAATAACATGCAGGGATGTTTTATATCGCAGGAAATTGCTTTGCAAAATTGTGTGTGTTAGGCAAAATTGCATGCAAATGTGTATATTTAGTTTGCACTAAAATGCAAATGAATATTCATGAGGATTTAAAAAAAAAATTCACATGTGAGAATGTGGAAAACTGAATAGGAAAAATGAGAAATTGAGAGAAACGAAGATTGACAGATTAACCCATAACGAATCCTCTAACAGTGAGCAGTGACTGATTACTTCTAGACATTTCTAAATTAGGCTTTCTGGACCCATTCCAAACAGATTTCCTGCCTGGTTTGGGGACTGAGACCGTTTGAACAATCTGTGTCTAGAAAGAAATAGGGGAGGTGTGGGCTTGTTGATTCATCTGGGGTTACTTATG